ATACTTTGTGTTGTTTGTTGATGAATTCACAAGAATGACATGGGTATCCCTTATTAAATTTAAACATGAGGTGTTTGATGAATTCAAGAAGTTTAGAATGAAGGCTGAGAATCAGAGTGGTCAGAAGTTGAAGATTCTTAGAACTGACGGTGGAGGTGAGTATAACTCCAAAGAGTTCCAGAAGTTCTGTGAGGAGAATGGAATTGAGCATGAGGTTACTGCTCCTTATACCCCTCAACACAATGGTCTTGCTGAAAGAAGAAACCGTACTTTGCTTGATATGGTGAGAAGCATGCTAAAGGAGAAGAAGCTTCCTCAGAAGCTCTGGGGAGAAGCTATTGCCACTGCAACGTATGTACTCAACAGATGTCCTACGAAGAAGTTGAAGGAAATAGTTCCAATACAGAAGTGGACTGGAGATAAGAAAAGTGTTAGTCATCTGAAGGTGTTTGGTTCTGTTTGCTATAAACATGTTCCAGAAGCCAGAAGACAGAAGCTGGATGATAGAAGCAAAGTGATGATTCTGATAGGGTACCACAGTACAGGTGCATACAAGCTCTATTGTCCAAAAACCAATAAAATTGAATTCAGCAGAGATGTGATTGTGAGGAATCAGAAGTTTGGAATTGGGATAAGTCTCAATCTGATTCTGATGTTAGAACTCCTAAAGAAAGGTCAGAGTTAAGAATTTCTGAAGTTGGAGTAAATTATGACGTTGATTCTGACTCTGATAGTGATTCTGACTCTGATAGTGATTCTGACTCTGGAGAAGACTCAGAAGATGAAGGTGACTCTGATGATCCAGACTCTGAAGATGGCCAAGGCTCTGGAGGAAGTCAAGCCTCTGAAGTTAGAAATTCTGAAGTTCAAGACTCTAGAAATATGCCAGATCCTGAAGTTGGTCAAAGCTCTGGAGAAAGTCAATCATCTGAAGCCCAAGACTCTGAACAAGTTCAGAGACCACAAAGAATCAGAAACGTTCCCAGAAGATTTGCAGAATTTAACATGCTGCAAGACACTGAAGTAGACTCTGAAGGAGAAGTTATTCAGTGTGCCATGAAAGCCATGTTAGTAGACTTTGAACCTATAAGTACAGAGGAGGCTCTTAAGCAGAAGCTCTGGCTGAAGGCCATGAAAGAAGAACTTGATGCTATAGAGAGAAACAAGACTTGGAAGCTGACAGAACTTCCAAAAGACAAGAAAGCCATCAGCGTCAGATGGGTTTTCAAGCAGAAGTTAAATCCAGATGGTTCAATTGGCAAACATAAAGCAAGGTTGGTAGCCAGAGGATTTCTACAAAAACCTGGGCTGGATTACTCTGAAGTGTTTGCACCTGTAGCAAGACATGAAACAATCAGAATGGTGATTGCAATAGCTGCTAACAGGAATTGGCCTCTGATGCATTTAGATGTAAAATTTGCATTTCTGAATGGTCCATTAGAAGAAGAAGTTTACGTGTCACAACCTCCTGGATTTGTGAAAAAGAATCAGGAAGGGATGGTGTACAGATTATACAAAGCTCTATATGGATTGAAACAAGCGCCCAGAGCTTGGAATCAGAAGATTGATTCATTTTTCAAGAAGCAAGGCTTTCAGAAATGTGAGATGGAGTACGGTGTCTATGTTCAGCATACTTCTGAAGGCAATATGACTCTGGTATGTTTATATGTTGATGATATACTGCTGACTGGAAGTTCTGAACAGGAGGTAGCCAAGTTCAAGAAGGTTCTAATGAATGAATTTGAAATGACTGATCTAGGCAAAATGACATACTTTCTAGGGATGGAGTTCAGATATTCTGAGAAAGGTATTATTTTGCATCAGCTCAAGTATGAATTAGAACTTTTGAAGAGATTTGATCTGAAGTATGGAGTGTTATTTCCCTCTGGAGGAAATAATGAGTCAGAACTTCTGAGTTATTCAGACTCTGATTGGTGTGGAGACAGAGTTGACAGAAGAAGTACATCTGGGTACTTGTTCAAATTTCTGGGAGGTTCCATTTCTCGGTGTTCCAAGAAGCAACCTGTTGTGGCGTTGTCAACCTGTGAAGCTGAATACATTTTAGGTGCTGTTACTGCATGCCAAGCTGTGTGGATTCTGAATCTGTTGCAGGATCTGAATATTAAAGTAGACAAACCTCTGAAGTTGATGATTGACAACAAGTATGCAATCAATCTTGCCAGAAACCCAGTGTTGCATGGGAAAAGCAAGCATATTGAGACCAAGTATCATTTTCTGAGACATCAAGTTCAGAGTGGAGTGTTAGAAGTTGTACACTGCAGCACTCAGAAGCAGTTGGCAGATGTTCTGACGAAAGCTATCAAGACTGATCAATTTCTCAGACTAAGGGATGGAATTGGTGTTACAAGTTTTGATGGAATATGAATTAAGGGATGGTATTAGAATATTAATAGTAATTCATATTTATTTAGTTGTACTATTTTCTTAGCCCCTAAGTTTGTTAGAGGGTATTTTAGTATTTTATCTTATTCTAGTAACCCTAGTTTTAGCTTATAAATAGGGTGACAATCATTATAACTTTTATCATGTTTTTGTAGCCGTCATTCTTAATAGAATATTTCTCCTTTTCATCATTTATTCTACCTTTGCACCAACAATTTGATCACCAGTTTCTAATTCCTTCTCTAATTCTTTATCATACTTCATTGTTAATTGATATGAAGTTTATTTTCCTTTACAATGTTATGATTATTTCTTTAAGAGATAATTTGTCTTTATTTTAGAATCTATTTTGTTGATTTTGCATTTGGTTGTTGCAACTAAATATCAAATTATATTAATTTGGTTAGAGAATATTATTAAAAATAATGAAACATTATTTTTAAGTGTCTTTCTTTTTAAACCCATTAATCTTAAAGATAAGAAATATATGAATTGTTGGTGTGTGTGTGTGTGTGTGTATATATATATATATATATATATATATATATATATATATATATATATATATATATATATATATATATATATATATATATATATATATATATATATATATATATATATATATATATATATATATATATATATATATATATATATATATATATATATATATATATATATATATATATATATATATATATATATATATATATATATATATATATATATATATATATATATATATATATATATATATATATATATATATATATATATATATATATATATATATATATATATATATATATATATATATATATATATATATATATATATATATATATATATATATATATATATATATATATATATATATATATATATATATATATATATATATATATATATATATATATATATATATATATATATATATATAATTTAAATTAAAACTAAAATCAAATAAAAAATATATTAATGAATTACTTCATTTGCAGTGAAACGGGAGATATTTCTGATTTTGATTTCATGGTTGACCTTTCTATTAAGCAATAATGTAACTTAATATCTGTATTAATGTTTATGTTTAGTTGCTTAATAAATTGTGAGAAAGATTTTTGTTCTTCTTCTATCTAAATCTTCTTATGGTTTTGACTAATCTATAGCAATATATAAATACAAAACTTAATGTTTTATCATATAAATAATTTATATTAAAATCAAATAGTAAAATTAAATTTATAAAAAAGTACACTGTTAATATTTTGCGCGTTAACGCAATAAAAAAAGTGGACAAACGGGCACGGACGTGCCCGTTTGGACGCTAGTATCTTATAATGGTGATATGTCTCTTTGATATTATAGATTAGGCTAAACATATTTTAATATTGAGTTCCAATACATTTAATTATGTTTCTAATGCAATGCGTAATTTATAGAGTAATTAATTTAACTATATATTTACAATTTTTTGTTGGAGATTAATTAAACAGTATTGTTTTGATTTCAATAGAAAATTTTAGTTAAATATTATTACTTATTAATGATATTGTTTTTAAAAAATATGTAAATGAAATAATATTCAAACAATTAATAAATATAGGTATCTTAATTTTCACAAATAAAATCTCAGGACAACTTTTGGACATCTAAGAGAAGGGAAGAAATTTATAAAATGGCTAGAAATTAATGTTTTAAAAACTGAATCAATATTGATTTATAAAAATTTATAAAAACTGAACCGTTCGGTACAATCTGATTGGAAATCGGAGATGAATCTAGTTGGATCAATTTTTCAAAAGTTGATCAAAACTGAAATTAAATCGAAAAAACCAAGTTGAACCGCCAAAAAACCAGCGCCGGTTTTGTAAAACCGCCCAGTTCAAAAAACTTTTAAATTGACCATTTTTGTAGTTTTTTAAAAAAAATTTAATATGTTAATATCAAAACTTAAACTTTTTTGTCACAAAAAAAACTTTTTCCTCAATCACAAAAAAAAACTTTTAAATTTATTTGTCACAATGCCCAACTCTATTGATTGTCATTCAAATTAATATTGTTTGTTATTAAAACTTTTTTGTCATAGTTCAACATCAAATCCTTTTAACATCAAATTAATAGGATTTTAGTGAAGTGATTGATTTAATTGTTTAGTGAAGTGATTGATCTAATTGTTTTTCTCTTCATCAATCATTGAAAATCATCTAATGCACATAATTTATGTATCTTTTCTTTATTTTTTTCTTTATTCAACAAAGATCAAAGGAAAAGGGTGTGAAAAAACTTTCTGGAAAAAATAGAAAACAGTTCTTTTAAAAACTTGGTTTTTTGTCAGTCCACCCGGGCAGTTCGTTCATGCATAATCTCAAAATAATAAATATAACTACAAATACCTCAATCCAAATACTCAATAAATCAGAACATAAGTAACTTAAACAACCCTATTTGATGTCTCTGCAACTTATAAAACCAGCATATAATTTGACAACAGAAATTAACAAAACAAATCATAGCAACAAAACAAATCATAGCAACAATGTCTGAATAAAAATTTGTTCCCTGATAGCAAAAACAAAAACACTTTAAAAAACACTTTATCGCTTCTTGGAGACACCAACAGTTTTTCCTCTGCGACCAGTAGTCTTGGTATGCTGACCACGGACACGGAGACCCCAGTAGTGCCTCAAACCACGATGGTTTCTGCATTATTAAGAACACCAGAGTTGTAGTATTAGCATATATAAACAGATATACACTGAAAGGAACATATCATAAAATACAAAATAAAATTACAAAAAAAAAGACTCTGCAAAGGGTCCCAAAGAGTACAACAATATCGGAACTGGCTATAGGCACAAGAGGTATCAAGCCACTCCACAAAAGAAAACAAACAAATAGTACAGACAAAAAGCACAGAAAAAAGCAATGAACCAAAACAAAAGAAACACCCGCCGATAAGATTTGACCTATAAATTATGCAGGAAAGTCAACACCCCAATGCAAATTAACGAGAAACAACACGTGTATAGGCTTGGTCAAAATTGATGATTTTAGGCTTGTGAGTACATGAACATTGGTTATAGTCCTATATCATTAGGACAACCAGCTCGATAACTTATGGCACTAAATGGTATTCACTACATAGATAAAAACAACATAAGCTTTAATAATAAATCATGCCTTTAGCGAAACCATTGGCCTCTAAATATTTTTTAACAGTTTTGCAGTAGTTTTTCCTGATTGGACTACCTTCCATTTGAGATATCCTTCCTATTTTTCAAAGAATTACATAACAAATATCTTAAATCACAATTTAGTCCTATTTTCATTCATAGTCCTAAAATTTTTAAATTTTGTTTCTAGTTTTGTCGGATTTCAAAAGTTGTATAGTGTATCTTCTTTTACTATTGATAAAAAAAAAAGAACATGCAAAATTCTACATCAAACAACAATTCCTTATATTAATAACCAACAAATAGATCTTTCTAATGAGAAAACATGCTAGTCCAAAGTTAAGTTAAATCATATTATATCAATTAACAATTAATAATAACAATTTAGCATTAAATATACAAATATAATCACCTGATTTTCTTCAATCGCTCCAAATCATCCCTCAACTTCATGTCCGTACCATTCGACACAACCTGAGAAAATTTACCATCCTTATAATCCTTCTTCCTATTCAAAAACCAATCAGGGATCTTAAATTGCCTAGGGTTGGCAACCACAGTCATAACATTCTCCAACTCAGCAGCACTCAATTCACCAGCCCTGAAAAACAAAACAAAATTAATCACTAAAATAACCATTTCAAAACCTATTACAGTGCAAATCATTAAATTCATAAAAATCCCCACTTTCACTAAGAATAAGAAATTATAACCTAAAAATAAAATAAAAAAATCATGAAAATCATTAGAAAAAATACTAATTTGATTAAAAATACCCAATCCTAAACAATAACAAAAACAAACCCTAACTAACAACATAAATTATACCTGAAATTTCATAAATCCAAAAACAAACCCTAAACCCTAAACAAAAACAAATCACAGCTAACCAAAACAAAAACGAAATCTTAATGAAATCAAACCTCTTGTTCATGTCGACATCAGCTTTCTTGCAACAAATGTTAGCGAATCTTCTCCCAATACCTTTGATTGAGGTAAGAGCAAACATAATCTTCTGCTTTCCATCAACGTTGGTATTCAACACACGAAGAATGTGTTGGAACTCTTCGTTGGCTACCAAAGACTACAAATTTCACAAATCGAAACAAAAATTAAAATACAAATTGAAATCAAGAATGAGCAAATTCAGATACAGAAGTAAAATCATGGAAGAAAAGTGTTAAAAGTACCATCTTGTGTTGATTTTGGATGCGCGGTGATGGGAGAGAGAGGATGGAGAATGCCGCCGAAGATCTAACCTATGCTTGTGTTCTTTGTTGAGACTCGTTGCTCTACTTATTATTAGGGTTTTCGTATGAGTGAGATTGTGAATTGGGGAATGACGAATATGCCCCTGAGGCTAATGAGAATTACTATTATCCAATTAGATTTATACATATTTAATTGAAGTTTTAATCTTCTTATTTAGTTTATTTCTGAATTTTAAATTTTTTAATTCTTTATGTTTTAATTTTAGTCCTTTTAGTTTTGTGATTTGTGAAATTAAACTTTAATATTTTAATGAAGAGTTATATGGAGATTTTAATATGAGTTTTTGATGTGGAGGATACATTGGTATTTTAACTAAATATGTTGATAATTATTTTTATGATTATATAACTTTTAATTAAATAAGCTAATAATTGTTATTTATATATTTAATAAAATTTTAATCTTTTATTTGAAAACAAAAGTGAAGAATAGAAAAATTATATACAAGTTGTTATGCTAAATAGAAAAGAATATCAAGTTGATTATTAAAATGATAATTAGCTATTTAAATTTAACATTAGCAAGACAATTGTATACATTAATATAAAAATTAAAATAAAATAAAATAACTAAATGGTTCGTGCAACTTAAAATAAATACTTTTCTTGTGTAAAAAAAAACTTGTTTAAAGAAATCCATGACATAACAAAAATTTTGAACCTCTGAAACTTTTTAGTGATCAAAATTTGAAACCCTTGTTCAATGGTTTGATTTTGTCTTAAGGTGTTTGAGAAAATGCACTAAGATGTATATCATTATGGTATGATTTTTCAATTAATTGAAGTGGCGCACAAAGACATAGACAAATTGTTTTGTAATGCCTTTTAATTGTGGCGGAATTTTATTAAATGTGATACAGTAATGATATAATTTTAATATTGTTTGCATTATGGGATCACGGTCCTCCCTTATAGTGGAACAATTTTGGCACAATGAATCTTCCTTTGTTTTACTCTTTATGTGTTATTTTCCCTTGTTTCTCGTGACGCTAACATCTAATGTGTATATAAACATTATAAAGTTGTTTAGTTAGCAGAATTTTGAATCTTTTATAATTTGATATAAAATATACAATAGTAATAGAAAAAGTAATTGAAACACTAAAAATTTGCTAAAAATGATAGTTTGAATGAATAAGTATCATCAATCCCCTCCTTTTTAATTGGAATTTTTATTCGTCCTCAAAGAACAAGTTTTAGAGAATGGAATATATAGTAAAATAGAAATTTTATCAGACTAAAAAATAACTTTTAAGCTTAAAATTATTTATTGGAATGCTTAGATTATCATCTGTAAATGTTATTCCCATTTTTAAACTTCAAAATAATTAAGTTCAAATAAATCTATCCATCCTTAAATTCTACTCCTCTTTTTTCTTCTCTTTTTCTAACAAACTCTCTCTTTTTCTAACAAATTCTCTCTAATAACAATTAAGGTTATCACTTAACCAACATACAATTGTTATTTTACCATATACTTGAAAACTTTCTAAACAATCTATTAAATCAACATTATAACACATACTTTTGAGGTATTTAGAATTGTAATGTGGCTTGGAGTAAAATGAAACAATTTTAGAAATAGTAGACTTTATTCTCTTGAGTTATGCACTATTTTCTTACAATCAACAAATTTATATTTTTTTCTCTTTTTAATCACATGATACAATTTAGGAGATGATACTATATTTTAGAGATTAGACTTTTTTTTATTCTCGGAGATATCCATTCTTTTTATTCTTTATTTATTTTATTTTTTTAATGAGTATATCTTTTAACACTTTTATACAAGTGTCTATATCCGCCATCCAAACTTAAAACTTTGTTATTTTATTAGCAACCCCAACTTTATAATTTATAACTTGTGTCTGATATAGAATTTTCTTATCATTCCCTACCTCTAAAGAGATGTAGATAATAACACATATTTAAGCTATGAACTTATAATATATACATGTAGTCTTAAAATGTTATATGTGCCAAAAATATCACAAAGAAATGAGATAAGACTCCAAAGAATTGACAAAGAGATTATATATATATATATATATATATATATATATATATATATATATATATATATATATATATATATATATATATATATATATATATATATATATATATATATATATATATATATATATATATATATATATATATATATATATATATATATATATATATATATATATATATATATATATATATATATATATATATATATATATATATATATATATATATATATATATATATATATATATATATATATATATATATATATTTTGAATTTTCTTGCAATATTGTTTCACAATCTTCTATACTCCTCTTTTCTTTACTAAAAATCTGATCCTGCTTCCGCTAAATACACGCTTTGGTATCATCACCTGGACTTGCCAAATCTAAGGTATATTTCTTAATTTATCATGAAAATTAGTGGCTAAATTTATGTTGTGAGAGGTTGATTATGCTTAGACAAAACTAAGTAGGTAACTTTTTCTCATAACATGTTATTAACTAGCAAACAACCTTTTCAAAGTGTTTTTAAAAACTAAAAAGTGTTTTTAGTGTTTTCTTAAACATTCATCTTTTTTTTTCCCGGGGAAGGGAGTTGTTGATGATTTCAAAAAAGAAAATTTTTGCTAAAAACATTTTGACATCTTTGATTTGGGAGAAATCCTTCTATCCCTTCGGGTTGATAGTTAAACAATTTGTTGTTTGCTTAGATGACTTTTAATTGGTTGTTGTTTTAGCTAAAATTATGTTATGAGTCCAAGTTATCTATTTAGATTTAACTTTGCATATCAACCAATCACAACATTCTTAGCCTATTGCCCTATGGATTCTGATGATGATAATCATCAAAATAATTTAATAAAAAATGAAGAATTAATTGAATATCCAAAAAATATGGATAAACTCAACATATGGGTTATACCCTCAGTTCCTTCTAATCAAATTTATAGATTTGGTAAGATAGATGTTTTTTCTCGTTTTGCTGTTAAAACTTTAGAGCAAACGATTCAAATTTCTAAAGAAACTCGGACAATAAAACTGTTAACTAAAAAAGATTTGAAACCTTTTAAAAATTATAATTTTATCCATATTGGATTGGTTCAAATTGCTTTAAAACCTTTTACATTATTGGGCTTAAATTCTAGCATAATGGCTTATGTTAGAGATGGTAGATGTAAAGATTTCAAACAATCTTTAGCTGCTATGGTTGAGACAAGTCTGTGTCATGGACCAGTTTACTTTGATGTCTCACCTAATTTAAATCTATCTTTATCTGATAAAAATTTATTAGATGTTATGCAATTAACAGTTCATACTAATGGTTATAATTTTAAACCGGGAAGTGAAATTATAGCAATATGCTATAGAATCTACTATAAGGTTCTTACTACGCTTAATCCTAAAGCAAAGCATTTATCATTTCCTGGAACCACTACTTTGGTTCAAACCAATTTATTAACATCCAATGTTGCAACCAATAGGTTAATAAAGTGGGATGAAATAAACTTCCCAGAGACATGGTCTCTCCCCCAGGAAATAGATCCTGAACCTATCCTTAATAGGGATATAGACCAAATTATTCAGACTACTGAAGGAGATTTAGAAATAAATTTCACTTCAAAAAGAATAACTAGAATACCCAGGTCCCTATCTGCTAGGCACTCAGTTAGTGAATTTTACACAGCTCCTAGCCAATTACCTAGACCTTCTACTTCTCAAATAGGAGAAGAAATAGAGGTCGTTGAGAATATAAGACTAAGCGAAAATAGAGTTCCCCATGGAATTTATCAAAGACCTCATACTCCAAGAGTAGAATCACCTACTCAGTCAGATATGGATTTCCAATTATAATGATAGATTACTCCCCTGGTAGTAAGATGAGACAACTCATCAATGATGAGTTTTAACATGAGAGATACTCTCAATTTAGAAATTGGTTTTTTAAAAAATTTTCAAAACCTGAATTAGCCCAATTTAAAGATGAGTATTACACTCAAATGAACCTTGAGCAGGATTTCGTTCCTTTTGTTAAATGGTTTGTTAATTACTTTATAAATAAAAAGCAAGAAGAAATTCTTGTGTTACAAAGACCTTGGGAAAACATTAGAGGAGAAATAATGGAATCTCCTTTTCCCCCTGAACAAACAATAAGTTTGAGTCAAAATACTGAAGCTACCCCTTACCTTAGCCTTCAGTTACAAAGAGTTGAACAAAATCAAGTTACTCTTAAGGAATTAAATTCAGTTATCAGGTCTCAAAATTATACCAATGCTTACCTTGTTTGCTTAGGAGAACAATTTATCTCCATGGAAAAAGATCTCTTATCCATGAAAGATCTTTTAGAAAAACAAATAGAGCGTCAAGATATCATTATTGACCACATAAGTAAACCTAAAGACCAAATATCCACATCCACTATTTCGGATGTTCCTATAGTACAACCTCCTGTTTCCATAAAAGGATTTAAAATGGAAACTAACGGAGAAGAATTTGTTCGTATTTTAGAACAAAAACTAAAAGGACTTAATATCACTGTCATGTCCCATGAAGATTATTCTGAGGATAATAATGACAACCATATTGACCAGCTTGCTGATATGTTTGCTAATTTAGACATTAGTAACCTTGATATTAATACTAATAGTATTAATAATACTAATAGTATAAATCCTGTTTATTCCCCAAGGCCTATAGAAAAGTATTATTACAAGCGTCCCTCACTGCAAGATTTGCTTTTTGAGGAATCAGAACCTTTCCAGAATTCTTATTCAGGAAAAGCCATTTATGAATGGAATGTTGATGGTCTTAATGACAAACAAATTATAGATATTATCCATAGGATGATCATGTACTCTACTGTTTGCAAGCAACATGGAAATTCTGATGCTTCAATAGCATCCTTT